CGGCTCGTGCGCGTGCCTGGCCCTGGAAAATCTGGGATTTAGGATTTCTTTAATCCTCTGCCGGAATAATCCGAGTTGTCTTTAGACGGAAGTAAAATACGTTCTTTAGAAAGCGCATGCCAGCCTGCCTGCTAGGGATGTGCCCGCTGCTCCGACGAGCAGAAATGCTGTTTCCAAGCGGGTTTGAAACAAGGTTTGCACCTGTTTTAAGGAAATGAAAGTTAGATTCCTTTTCTTTCTGCCTTCTGACCCTTGGGGTGAGCTCGGGTCACACTGACAGCCTTTCGTAGCCAACCAGGAAAACAAGGCTGTTGCAGAGAGAGGTTTTATAAAGTCTTCCTGTAACTTGAGGAGCGGAGCTTCAAGTCGGCTCCAGTGCCGGGACGAGGATCGAATGTGGTTTCGCACGGCTCTGTGTCTCTTGGCTGGCTCTGGTGTCAAAGCAGGGCATTGTTGGGCAGTGGGTTTTCTTCTGACGGGAGCATTGGGAAGAGCTTTTCCCCACGTGTATTCCCTGGTGCTGGGTAAGTGGAGAGCTTGGGCGGCAGCCTTGCCTCCAGCTCGGGTGTCTCTGCTCAACAGCCTGGTCTCATGGGCGTTGTAGGAACTTAGCTCTGCTTTTCCATGAAGTAATGCATCTGTGAGAGAGCATATGGGTCTGGTTCTGTTCCTTGTATGCTGTCTATTGGCAAGCGGTCTACGTGTGCAACCCGGCTCCACAGCTGGGTAGAGGCAGCAGCAGTGGCTTGTTTTAGCTTGGAAGAGGGCAGCAGTCCTTCAGGCCAAAGGGCTGAGAGGCAGGGTCCTGGGAGGAGGCCCTTGGGCTCTCCAGTGCTGCGCTTGGTGGTAGTTTACTGGGGCCAGGAAAGGTTGCTGTGGTATTCTCTTTTGTTAAGCCTGATGACCAATATCCTCAGAAAAATCTTGCCTAGATTTTCCCCAAGGAGGACTGCAGGCTCTCAAGCGGTAAGATGGTCAGTGATGCCTCTTAATTGTGAGAAACCATCTTGCTGCTTGGTAATTCAGACTTGGGGCAGGTTCTGCAAGCATGCCCCAAGCTGCTGTCTTGCACAGTTTGCCTATTGTGTGCTTCTGTAGTATCAGGTACTGGCAGCGCAGCTGAACAGAAGTCTCCCAACTCCTTCATCAGAGGCCAAGTTTTGTTGTTTGTCTCGATCCTCAAAGGCAGAGCTATGTTGTTTCTTTTCAGTGGTTTAGCCAGAATGCTAAATATGTGTTAGTATAGTGTATTTAGAAAGGTGTGCCTGTCATTACAGTTGCAAATAGAATATGCACAGTAATGAATTTACAGAAGGCAATGCAGCCTCCACACCTTCAGTCCCCATATACACACAACCTTTCTGGTTACACCCTGAGACAGCCCTACATATCCACTTCCCTCGGGTAAAGCTTGTGTAAACAACTGGAGTTCCTATTTTGCCCTTGAAGGTCAGTAAATATGGGAGCTGATTTCAGGGAAGCTGATCTCAGAACTCTCCCTGATGCATGCACTTCACGAATGCCAGTTTTCAAAGCACTCACGACAGTCCCAGGGGAGCGCTGCTTACAATATGCTGCTTATTGACAATTTGGAGACTGTCTGCTGTATTGATTGTTATAATTTTATAAGGTGAGTGTGCATTCTTACAATGAATATTTTTTTTCCCTTTTCTGAGGTCATAGTACAAACCCTTGCTGGTGTTATTACATTAAATAGTGCTGTCAGCCTTACCCCGTTCTGTCGTAGAACCAGTGCTGATGAAAGGGTGCTTTTGTCAGGGTTTTGGCTTAAAATTCATCTGTCTGTCATCCAGTCTCTGTGAAGAGGTTGTTACACTGGGTGACGGGTCAAGAAATATAAGGGTTACTGGGTTACAAACCAAGAATAAGCCTTATTCAGGCTCAGGAGCAAAGAACTTTCAATGGGTCATTTAAGCTCTCTGTAGATTGATTCCCCCGGTTTGGCATGACATAGCTGTGCTTGCCACCTTTTTTCTGTGTTTTGAGATCTGAGTGGAAGGTACTTGTGCAAATGGTACCGTGTCTTAGCAAGAGGGTTGTTTCAGTTGTTTGCTCTGTTGCAGGTTTCCAGGGAAGTCTCAGGAAAGAGTCTGTTTAGCAAAGCCTAACTTCACATCCTGCTGAGAAAGACAGCTTTGCTGCCCAGCTGCTTTGTGACGTGTTAAAAAAAGCGCCTTTTTAGAAAAGAAACTAAATTCTGCTTCCTGGCATATATGTGTGCAGCAGAGAAACATGTCCTGAAGGATTGCTGTCTCAACGAAGTCAAAGAGCAGGGAGAGAGCAGAGAGGAGAAAATGATTTAGTTTCCCCAGGGACATGTGTTGCTGTAGTCTTTCATGCCCGTAAGTATTGCGACACCTTGATCCTACTGCCACCTCAGTGTTACCAGTATTACAGTCATGACAGTACATAGCTCTGCTTGCGCAGCTTGGAGTGCGGAATTGGTGCCTGCATAGCAGAGGGCCTGCTTCCCTCCTACCTGTGCTGCTCATTGGTACCTTGAGAAAAATTAGTACTTGGGAGCATGGTCTGAAACCCCATAGAGAAAGATCAGAAGAATCCCATTGAGCACAGGGGCTCCAAAAATGTACTTGGCCTGAATAGAAAAGGAATTGGCAAGCACTGTTTCTGCTTAGCAAGACATTGGATACCAGTCACTGATCCAGAAGCTTGGGTGGAAATACTGGTTGAAGTGACTGCAGCTGCTGACACCTGCCTGGTGTTTGGAAATGAACTCTTAGCTATTCTGAATATTGACCTCACCAACAGTCTCAATGCCCTTAATTGTTAAAATAGACACAGATCTGCTTTTCAGTGCTGCACAGAATTTACTATCTGCAGTTTGGAGAATAACTGCTTTTTTCTACTCTGTGATACAGCTGGGTATCGGCCTAGCGACGAGCTTTGCCTCTAGGCATTTACTTCTGAAAGACAAGAAGGGCAGCAGATTAGAATAGATGAGGGAGGGAGAGGGAATTACAAATAAATGATTCTTCTTGTTTGAGGCAGTGTTCTACATGAATAATAATTAAAAAAGAAGTCCATGTGGTATTTGTTTATTTATCTTGTAGTGAACTATTAGTGTGGGAGTAGATAATGGTAATGGAATGGCATCCTTTCTAGAAGATCCTGAGTAGATAGACTTTTCAGCTTGGAAAGAGATGACTACAGGGGAAGTGATAGAAATGCATGAAATAATGCTGTAAAGAGTGGTTGCTACAAGAAGAGTCAGGGTACATCCTTGTGAAATTTTTAGGCACTAAATGTAAAGAAAACAAAAGGGAATACTTTTTCCATGCAGTGTAAATGAATGCTTTCAATCCACTGCCAAGGGTGCATGGGTGTCCGAGTAGTGAGGCAGTTCACAGAGGATGGGTCGACAGGTGGGTTGTCTGGATCCAGTTTCTGGCGCTGAATCCTTAAACCTGGAGACAAGACTACCAGAGTGATTTTACACGTGCACTGTTACTTATGCTCTCCCCTTTTGCTCAGATCAGAGTACTGCCCAGGGGGTGATCCGTAATCTGGTATTCAGTTACTCCCTGTTGGACTTTTGGATACCATTTTGTAGGGTTTGCTAGGAAAAATGGTTTTTAGGGCTCTTTTCAGGAAGTCTGTAATCTCTGACTATTGATGTGATCCTCTTCGAGTTTGGGATGTTCTCTCTCAAGTGCTCACTATCATTACAGATTGTCACTGTTACATTAGGGACCGCGCTGGACTGGCTGGCTGCACAGTGATCGCGATTCACACTTTACTGTCTCTGTGTAATAAGCTTATTTCCGGAAAGCAAAAGAAATGTTATGATAGATCATCTGCTGCTTCAGTAATTTTTAAAATTTTTTCACTCACAAGTAAGGAAATTGTAGGCATGTCTCAGAGCCAAGAGTTGCTAGGATGGGGAGTGCCTGGAGGGCTTTGGAGAAAGCCGTGGCATCTGGGAAGTGCAGGAAGAGGGCTGGGGGGGGTAATGGGCAACCAGGGCTATGAGGAAGCAAGAAAATGCTGCCAAGCATGTGGACTTTGTAAAATGTTTGCTGCTTTTCTGTATCTTTCATTACTTCAAATTCCCATGCTTTATAAACCATCCCATAGACCTTCTGCCTTCCGAAGACATCAGTTACGTGCAAAAGCAGCAAAGGGACAGAGTGATGAAAGTACTGAGAAAGCTGATGGGTCAGGGAGGGCAGGTAGAGCTGCTCCTCCACAATGTACTTACAAGATTTATGCTTTGGCACATACATCAGGCACTTACATGAGCTGGTTGTAGTCTTTCCAGTGATGCCTAAATTAAAACCGTACTGCTCCTGTAAAAAGAATTCTCTCTGTATCACATATGCACAGCTACTAATTACCAACCCTGCCCATTTATTTCCCTACTGTCCTATTCCTACAGGCTGTCATCTGCATTTACTGGGCTGCTTTGGGTGTGGGCTTTCTTGAGTGGCCACCCCTGGGCCGTTGCCGTTTTGCAGATGTTGCGGTTTAGAGAGGGGCAAGATCCAGTCACGCACAAATAGTGTTTCATTTGTGAGCAGGACTTACAGCATGCAGAGTCACTGGGGTAGGGTGGGAAAATAAAATTTACATTTGTGTGTTTGAAGGTAAGCTTGACATGCCTCTCTGGCCGGACATGTCTTTCTGGCCTACTGTGTCCTGGATTTATGTTTCTCAACATCACAGACGTAACCCCAGGTACTCTATGCACCAGTCTCTTTTTCTTCTCTAACTTGCTGAATCTGTGTAAGATGTCCAACTGCTCTCCTCTGTTCAGACCTGGGAAGAGAAGAGAGGGCAATTACAGTCCCTCTTCACAGCCAGTAAATGCCTGTTGCTGCCTTGCTGATTGCCGTTGGAGCTTGAAGGTAGTTTTTGCTCAGGCATGTGCAGTTCTTTATGGCTTGTTAACCAGCGCAGGAGCCTCCTGTATGGTCATCACCCTCTGCATAGTCCCCTGAGGCAAGTGATAAACACAAACTGCAAAAGAATGAGAAATGGAATAATTTTTGTTTGAAGAAAATGCAGAAATTTACCGTGTTGTGCCTTTGTCTTGCAACGCTGCATGCTGGAAGGAGAACACCTGAAGTGCTGGGTGAGTGCCTGCTCTGAACTCTAGAAAAGCCATGGGAATGGCTACCTGGACCTCTCACAGCTCAACAGCCACCGTGTTCAGGAGATGGGGATGGTGAAGGGGCAGTAGCTCAGGTACTTCCTTTCCTCCAAGTCTCATGACAAGACTCAGATGAATAGCAGAGTTAATTTTTGGTCCACTTTTTCATTCTGGAAGGTAAATTTTGGGCCAACATAAAGCATTTTATGAGATCCTGTGCTCTGGCCCTTCCTTCTGTGAACAATGGTTGCTTCTTTCATGTTTAAGTTATTAAATCCATTTTTTTTTTTTTTTACCGTAATGGAAAAAATGGCATTTTAAAAGGGAAAATTGAGAATTTCTTTACTGAAAATGCCTAAATGAAATGCTTCAGTGTTTCTGAGAAATGACTCCCATGCTTTTTCAGAGTCATTCACGAATGTGATCCTAAATCACGTGTATCTTTGGTCCTTCCAGAGCTCAGGTTTTCCATCCATGGCTTTGTTGGAGCTGGAGGAATGGGTGTGAGGCTGCTGCAGACCTGCAGTGTTCCTGCCCTGCTGGGCACAGGTGTCCGTGGGCTTGAAGCACTGTCGGCTGGCTGAGGAGCCAGGGAAACTCTGTCACCTTCTGTTTTTAACTTTGTTCCTTGAAAGGTCAGGTGCAACTGAAGGGCCCTGCAGTGCCTTCATGTAGCAGGGCTTTGCAAATACCTGGTAAGACAAACTGGAAATGAGAATAAAAGAGGCTGCACCTTTTGCCAGAGTCCATTGGGCTGGATTTTAGTGCTCTCTCTTTACCAGGTGTTGAAGGAACAGACTGGGAAAATGGGTTCTTGTGACTGTAAAGTTCACTGGGGCTATAGTGAATTAGGGGTAGCTGTCGGCAGCTTGTTCAGCCTCTCCTCTGGTCTCCTTCTCCTTCTAGTAACCTAATGAAGATTTCCACTGCCTCCCAAGAATGTATAAACAAATAAAACCACCTCTGAGAACCCAGCCCAGGAGGCAGAAGGGATGTGATTACCTAGTTAATAATTGTTTGGAATGTCTTAAAATTGTGCTGCTTTCTGTAAGGTCAGCCAGCTAGCATCCCTGCAGCTGTCTGTCCCTGAAGCTGAGACTGAAGACGTGAGTGCCATCTCTCCGGTTCACGTGGCTGTAGTACGGTCACTGGCCTGCTCTCAAATTGCAGAGTTTGAGGCAGGTTTTATGCAAAGTCCCTGCCTGGATCTGTTCCTGCTTATTGCCTAGAAACTGGAGTAATTCCACTTGAAGGAGTAAAAAAGCACTGATTTAAGAAAACTGAGAATCATTATCCTGTGTAAAAACTGGATGTCATTGCCTGCAGCTACATCTTAGGAGCGATCTTGGAAAACTCTGCTGTTTCTCCTCTCCGGAGGGGTGCTGGAAACCTGGCTTCGCTGTTGGTGGGATGCCCGGCAGCCTGTGAGGAGGAGGCACAAGCATGCCTGTAATGTAGGGGAGGACATTGTTGAAGGGATACTACTGGTTTATGAGAAATGAGCCAAGGTCGGGAGGACCAGACCTGCTAGAGGCAGCGATAAGAAGGAGCAGAGCTGGAGGGAGCTTGTGGGGCTCCCTTGAGCTTTGTTTCTTGATCCTTAGGTAGGGATCAGAAGGGAGGAGCTTCAAGATGTTCTTGGTTCAGAACTTGAGCTCCGCTATACTGTTTTGATTATAGTTTTATTTCATTCAGGTGAGGCTATCAAGAAGGTTCTTGGCTGGGTCAATGCTATATGGTGTAAATATCCTTTAAGTGCTAGTATGCTAGTCAATCTAAAATCTTCAGTAATAAGATAAGGGTGACTACTGCATCATGAAGAGCATAAAATCAATGTGTAACTATAGTCACGTGTGCCTGTAATGATCTGGCAGAGCTTTTATTGCATGGACTTTGGATGTATTGTTTAGGGGAAATTGTTCAGAAATGTTCTTAATGGAGATGAAGCGAGAAAGAAGTCTGTGCCAGTTAGGCAGCAATACGCTACTTCGGTATTTTTGTGTTGCTGTTTTTTCACTTACTTTCTTCTTATTTGCTTACATCATACGGACTGCATACATGTTTTAAATTTTAAAGCTGAGATTCTACAGTATTTAACAAACATATCTGTCAGCTGCGCTGCTGTGAATAAAAGTTTTAGTAACAGAGTAACTAGTAAGGAAATTAGTATTTTGAATAAAGTAGTCTGGTTTGGATTTTACATAATTGCTTTAAAAGTCCCTAAAACCCCAGAGTGTACATATCAAAGGTCAGTAGCCAGATGGGGACTTTGTGCAGCAGCAGAATACCAAAATACCTATACTTCAGTGTGTTGTTGTTCTGTCTCTTCCTGATGGGGCTAGAATGTTAATACATTAGGTCAATAGTTGTCCGTTCAGTACCTCTTTTTCATCTCACCCTAAACGCCTGGCATTCCAAACTATCTGTGTGTTCACAGTATAGCTATTCTTTTTTTTTTTTTTGGAACAATTTCAGTATTTACTTCCTTCCCTCCAAAAAACCCACTAAACAAAGCAAAAACTAAAAGGAATTTTTTATTCTTCAGATATTTTGGAGAAAAAAAAATCAGCTAATGGCTGGAATAATTTGGATGTTCATACTTTCTAAAAGAAACAGTTTAATGAAAGTAGGTTTTGTTCATTTTCAGATGTGATGTAAAAATCTAATAAAAAAAATCTGGACAGCTGTCTATGTTGGGAAATACATTCTTTCGTATCGGAGGAAAGAATGAAAAATAGTAAAAGCAGCACCTGGACTCAACTAGACTAAAACAGTGCCAGAAGATCAAGCAGACTTTAAGGGAGTCAGCGTAAGTTGAGAGAGAACTCTGTGATAAAAAGCTGCTTCCTCTCCACCAGGTACAGCCAGTCAGTCTGGTTTTCCCCAGGCTTCTGTCAACAGCCGTTGTCATGTCAGCAGCTGAAGGTGTGGCTTTTTTCATCCCACTTCCCTTTTTTTGTGGTCCATGAACTCTGCTTTACTAGCGTGTCATATATTGCCTGTTGCCCTGCTGGCAGCAGCAGGCTTAAACAGGAAGTTTTTAAGGAAAACTTGGACTTCCCGAGTTCTGCCAAGCTGTCTGTTCTAGGACAGTAATTCCTAATTTGCAAATTTTGGTTAACTTGTGAATTTCAGGAGTCGTTCTGTTTGATAAAGGTGACTTTGATTTGGGAGCGCTCTTAACTCTCTTAACTGAATTTGGAAAGGTTACAGCTGAAGCAGTCTCTACGCCCAGTGTTGCTGGAGTGACAGAGCTGTCAAGCTGAGCAAATCCTTGCCTGAACCAAGCACCCAGGAAAGAGAAGGATGCTTGCTTCTTACAGTCTTCCAGCTACCATCTCCTCTTCTGCCTCCCCTCCCCTTAGGCTCACTGGAGTCCTCCCATTTCTCAGTCGTCCTCTCCCACTGGGGGACCTGGAGCAGCCAGATGCCACAGAACAGGTTTGAAAAGAGTCCACAAGTGTTATGTAGGTTGAATTACAGGAGGAGGAGATGCATTTCTGGTGCACCACCTTCTCATGGTGGGGTGAATTGGAGCCTCTCGCTGCACTGACCCCTGGAGTTCACCTTGCAGGAAGAAATGTGGCATCTTCTACACATTTATGTCATTGCACAGTGAACTGGAGAAATGACCCTGGGAGTCAAGGAAAGCCGCTTTGTCTTCCCGTGTAGTCACCTTTACTTGATATCCCTGCAGGTGGTTTGTTCTGTATGTAATAGAATATAGTCTGGAGTCCTTTAGGCAGTTGTACTAAACATTGCAGTACAGATTTAAGTTTCAAAACCTCTGTAAAAGCAACAAATGATCCGAGTTTGAAACCAGTGAGCCAACCATAAAGCGTTTGATCGGTCTGGAGTGTGAAATGGCTAAATACTGGGGAAGGCTGCACCAAAGGGGACCTGCAGTCTTGGCAGGGAACAGTTCAGGAGACAAGCTTGGATGAGCCGCTTATCAGATCATGACAGCCCATTAGCACAAGGAGGGAAAGGTCTCCCCAGGAAGGTGGAAAAAAAAAATCACAGTGTGCATTAGTTTTAGATATTTGTCTTACATTTGCTGTTTGTGAACATGTAAACCTTCTGTATTTTGCATTTTCAATGCCTGTTCTATTTACTGTTAAATTATTTCATTATTTCAAAGCCTACCATGTGATTTTTTTTGTAGCCCTGAAACTAAGGGTGGTGTTTGCTATCCTGGTACAGTTTTGTAGATCTCGATAAAACAGGAGGCCCCATAACTTTCCAACCTGCTAGGTAACTTACAGCTGCAATTGATTCAGAGATGCATGAGAAGGGGATAGAGTTCAGGTTTAGAAATCTGGTTTAAATGCTTGATTTAAAAAAACCCTCTATTTTTCCAACTAGAAAATAGTGGCCTACAAATACAAAATGTAGTCATTTAGGTGACTTACTGATGTTTATGGAGCTCATTTTGCACAGTGCTGTAGGTGGTTGGGTCTGATTCAGTAAAACAAGCTAATAAAATTGCATTCAGCTCCCAGACCAAAGCTTGTCTCCTACAGACTCCGCATGTGAAGGCAGCCGATGCTCTCATAGGAACTGCGTTCCTCATCCCGACCCGCTCAAGCTTGGGCCTAAAAATTCCCTCTGGCGTCGCCCCTGGGTCTGGTGGTTGTTAGTCACAGCCAGCACAGCCTAGAATGGTAGGAAAGGAAACTGAGCACCCTGCTTCAAAGGTATTTTGCTTGAAGCAAGTAATTTGCTTTTATCTTCCTCTGGAATTAGAACTTTTAAAGATGAGTAAAACATTGCACGACAGTCTACCTCTATTTATAGTTTGGCTGCTGAAAACCAACCAAAACTTCCTTAATCATCATCCGTCTTGTCATTAGCACTATAGGAAAGCAAATATGTTTTCACAGTCAAGGAGCAAGGAACAGATGAGCTGTTAGATTTGCGTTTGTGCAGTACTTCAACATTTCCAGGTTTCTTGATGCATCAGAATCTTCCCAGTGAGCTATAATGAAGGGAGCCAGGAGAGCGAGGAATGTGTTGTGTCGTGTCAGCGCAGAGCAAAGCTGAACTGAATGAGACAAGGTCTATAGTAATTGGGTGCTTAGGCTTACAAGAACTAAGCCATTTAACCTCTTGAGAAAGTGGCATTATTTACCTCCTAGAGAGTTCCCCAGATTGAATGGACCTTAGAAAAAGGAAGACGAGTCAAAAGAGAAAAAAACCCCACAATATTTTCTCTTCTAAGTATCTGCAATTTTCTAGCGTGTTGTTTTGTGACAGGAGCTCTCAGCTGCCCAGTAATACGTACCTAGGCTTGAGGGTTTGCTATTTTGCTGTAGACTGCAAAATAAGAAATGGAGTAAAGTAGAGGTTCTTACCTGTTTCCTAGCTTGCATATATTTCTATAATAGTTAAATTGCCTTATTGAGGTATGCAGTTATATTCTGCATGTGAAACAGTGTGGGATGGGAGACCCAAAAGATAGGATTTTTGAAGCTTGTGTACGAATCTTGATGTGTTTAAGAGAGCATTAATGGATATTTTCTGTTTGCAAAGAATGTTGCCTCCACTCATGAAAAGCGGTGGTGAAACATCAACTGCATCTTTATAAAAACCTGTGGAGTTTTCAAAGCAGCTCGCTTTCCTATGGGTGAAGCATGACATCCTGAAGTAAACTACTCAGCAGAAAATGGTGGTAATATTCACAGTTATTCCCTGGCTTCTTGGTATTTAATCTTTTAGAGGCATAAGGTTGCTCTCCTGGAGATATATATATTACTTGCAGGCACTCAGATTTAAGGTCTGTTGGGTCCCAACAGCTGAACCTAAACCAGAAAACACTTTCATTAGCTTTCCCTATTGAAGCACTGCAGGCACATACATTTCTTCCTGAGGATGTCTCAAACAGCATGATCTTTTTATGCTGAACATGCTGACAGCTTTTGATAGGGATTCATTGACTAATTCCCTGCATTTTCAATTGAATCTGATCATCCTCTCCTATCTGAATCACCATATTCTTAGAAATTTGTTTATCAAATAGCTGCTACCTTTGCCTGATTGCTTTTAAATGGACACCTGCTGACCTGCTGTTCTTATCTGCAGAACCTATGCTCTGCTTTTTTTTCAAAATGCACTCATCTTCGCAAAGGCTTTGGAGTTAATGTGCTGTGCAGCAAGCAAAATATTCTTTCATTCATGCAGCTCCTCTCAGTGGACAAGTGTATCGCAGTAAGTACTGTCCCTTCCTCCGCTGGGAAGGGGTAGCCCTGACAGCTGGCATATTACCATGGCAAAACCCAGTTGGTAACATGAACAGAGAAAGGCAAGAACATGGTGCTTTGATCTTCACTGTAATCAGGCCATGTGTACTGCCAGCAGCATAAATGTTTTTATTTAGCAAGCTCATCTGGAGAGTATTACAGGACTCAACGCAAGGCAGCTACAAATTCCTTCAAATTTTATCAAGCACATTAGACTAATGATGGCAAGAGCCACATTTCCAGCAGTAGATCTGCCACAGGCACATATGAATAAAACAGTCCACCTTTCCCTAAAATGATCCCACATTTGAAGTCTTTCTCAATATAGTCAGAACTCTTATCTCCGGATTACTCAACAACTATGTGACTTAATAGCCAGAGAATGGTTCTGAATTATGAATGAATGCTTTGTTTAAAATCCAGTAGCTCTTTTTTTTTTTTTTTTTTTTTTTTTTTTTTTTTTTTTTTTCCTTTTACATAGAAGCTTCTCTGGTGTACTTCTCTGCTTGGACTTCACCAGAGCATAGAATAATTTTGTCTTTACAGAAACCTGCATTGCTTGCCCAAAGAAGGGCAACAAAGCTGGTGAGGGGTCTGGAGCACCAGTATTAAGAGGAGTGGCTGAGGGACCTGGGGTTGTTTAGCCTGGAGAAAAGGAGGCTGAGGGGGAGACCTTATGACCCTCTACAACTACAACTGAAAGGAAGTTGTAGCGAAGTGGGTGTCAGTCTCTTCTCCCAAGTAACAAGTGATAAGACGAGAGGAAATGGCCTCAAGTTGCACCAGGGGAGGTTTAGATTGGACATTAGGAATAATTTCTTCCCTGAAAGGGTTGTCAAGCTTTGGAATGGGCTGCCTCGGGAAGTAGTTGAGTCCCCATCCCTGGAGGTATTTAAAAGAAAGGTAGATGTGGTGCTTAGGGACATGGTTTAGTGGTGGACTTGGCAGTGCTACATTAACAGTTGGACTCGATGATCTTAAAGGCCTTTTCCAACCTAAACGATTCTATGATTCTATAATCTTGATAGTAATTGTGAACATTAATTTTAATCCCCATTGGGGAGTTGGAGTGATGTATAGGTACAGCAATAAGCTGGAATAGAAAACAAGATGGAGAAGGGATTAGGGTGTAGATTGAGAAGGTATAGGGAAGGGTAAGGCTACGCTAATGGGAATAGGGATGCGGCAAGGGACCTGCCAGCTCTTCTGTTGGGAGTTTGCAAGGATTGGGAGCAAGTGAGGAAAATGAGGCTCCTGTGTTTCTCCCTGGTCCTTCCAGCATCAGGGGAAGCCTTGTCTCTGCACGGGCAAGTGGCAGCGTGCCCGTCCTCGTGCACAGGGCTGTGACCACGACTGGACATCCTTCCTGCAAGCCCCTGGCCTCCAAGCACTGGTACTGGTGAGAAAGTGATGGGGATGCCTGTCAGGAACAGGCAGCTCAGTGTCTTCAGCCATTGGAAGCATCTCGAGCCCCACTAGGTTGTGGGTTGGGTTTTTTTTCCATTTAGCAGAGGATGTCCCATTGAGATGGCTGTCATCCTCAGATAGATTTCCTGCATTCTTAAAGCCATTTCCGTGCTGTGGCTAGATGACTTACTGTACTGCTTAAAGACTTCGTACGGTCAGTTATTTTAATCTGCTAATAACAGTACTTGTAGAAATGTGAATTGATACTTTTCTCCCAAAGGCCTGCTGGCATTCGATAGCTAGGACTTCTGTATTTCAATAATACTGCTAATGCTAAGCATGAAAAAATCATGGGTCAAACCATATAAAATTATGACTAGCTTTAAAATTGAAATTTTAGAACAGTGTACCTATTGTGTTTTATTTAACGTAATATCCTTGGTCACTGAGGTCTGCCCTTGTCATCACAGTCATCTGTGTTTCGTAATCTGGTGATTTCTTTAGTAAAACTAGTCAGGCTCCCTTTCCAAAGTAGTTGGTTTCTTCTGCTCCTTGTAGCCTCTTCTAGGAACATGCTGCTTTGTTTGTGACCTGAATACCAGAATTGTTAGTGATTACGATTACCATCTAGGTATTCATATTTCTAGTCTCGTGCCACACTGCATCCCTGATCTCCCTAGCCCTGTTGTATACAAGTCTCCATTCCCTTCACTGAGGTGTCTACTCTTGCGGGAGGAGGGGCTGGGGCCCTCGTCCCACTGCTGCAAGGTGGTGATGCTCCTCCTGTTCCTCAGGGAAGCGGCAGAATAGGAAGCAGAGCTGCTGTTTGCACAAGGTAAGGGAGGATGGGTGGGAGAGGGTGCAAAGGGGATGTGTAGGGGAGCGGTCCCACAGGGAGGGGAGAGCTGCCAGGGAAGAAACAGGAGGGGGATCTCTGCTTCCACGCTCAGCTTCCCCCGGACCTCACTGCACCACGGCCAAGTGTCACGGCAGGGCTGGAGATGCCTTCACTAAGATCTCACAGATTTCCAGTGTCAGGCAGAGAAATGCTCTTCTCCGGCCATGGCCCCAGCGTTAACCATCTTGCTTTGTTTACTCTAGATACACTTTATACTGCTGTTCAGTCG